ATATATATATATATATATATATATATATATATATATATATATATATATAGTCGTGATTTAGAACTGAGGCCAAACATGGACCTGATTCTGACTTACTGGATATGTTGCCACCTGCTGGGCAGTCTGGGAAGGACTTTTGTTTATAGATAGTTGAAATCCAAAATAAGTAAAATAGGATTGTTTTAAGTTTTGATGTTTAAGATTATAATTTAAATCAACTTATGTTTTCTACATTTAATGTAAAACTTCACTAACTCCAGTTAAAGCAGTTGGTTTCATATACTTTAATAATCCTTAATTTGTCCCCCCAGTGCAGCAACTGTCATGATTTATTTAAGGATCTGACCCAAAAATGCAGAGAAAAACTCAGAGAGCACGGCAAAGGTTTAAACAGGTATATTGTGGTAAGGATTGAGGGGTTGGATCTGGTACTCAGAGGGCTGGTTAACTGGAACTGGAAGGGAGGAGGGAAATTCAAAAAGGTGAGTTCAGGATCCGTGGGAACTTTAAACGATGACTTGGAGAGACAGAGAAAACGGAACTCATGTTAGTGGAGAAAACCTTCTTCCCAGAATCCAGTCTGTATGGGTTGACCTAGAGAAGAGGGGACACATTGGAGAGCAGACAGGTAGACCCTTCGTTGGACCCAGAGCAGTATGAGAGGACTTTCACTCGGAAATCCTGGAGAACTCCAACGGTACTTGTGGAGGTAAATCCCCTGCTCAGTGTGAGACTCAAACAATCCTTCCAGGGGAAGGAGGCCAAAAATCGAGCTTGCAGGATGACTTCCTGGCGAAAAGGCAAAGACAAAAACAAGGTTAGGCTCAGTGCATAGCAACAGATTGGCAGAAAAAATATACGTGTCAATAGAGGGAAGCAGCTTTTATTAATGACATTTTGTTTTAAGGTTTAAAAACAGTTCTTATAAAGAATCTGCCCAAAATGGAAGAAACTTTTAGGGTTTTTTAAAGTGAAGCAGAAAAAAAGAAAAAAAAAAAAAACACCTAAAAATGAAAAGTCCACCAAGTTAATCTTTAAATTAGCAATACATGAACACTAGTTCTTCCTTTACAAAATATTATGACCAATGTTTTTGCTCGCTGGACATTTTTGTTTGGCTTTTACAGTCTTCAGGTTCAGGAGTTTTTGAAACTATAGTACACCTAGAGGAAGACCTTATTTTATCTGTACAGTATAATAAATAATTCACGTCAGGTTCCTTGTCAGTCCTCCAGTCCATCAGCTGACGACGTCCTCCTGCTCTTCAGCTTTTGACCATTTCATGAAGGTAAAAGGCTTCCTATAGGAGGAACAGAAATTATTTACAGTTTCGTGGCTTTAAATGACATAAAATAACAATCAAAGGCACCAGCCTACTCACATTTACTCAGTTACATCTACTTAAGTAAAGGGATTAGCTGATCCATCCAGTATAACTGAAATGAATCACGAACAGTAGTTCTCCAGACGATAACACGTTTCATCTTTATACCAAAATGATGCATAAAGGCCCAAAGCCAGAAATCAAACCCAGAGCTTTCTTGCTGCAAGGCAACAGCGGTACCCACTGCTGCACTGTGCTGCCCCTGAATTACCAAGTGCCTCCCATAAATGATCTACAGAACATTTGAAAGGTTAGAAAACACTGCAAGTAAGAAGAAAACTCCCTAAAAGGAAAGGAGCAAACAAAGATCTAGGTTCTCGAGAGAAAAGCTCTGCCCAGACGGACAGCAGGACGTATCTTCTGGGGACAGGTAAGTCAGATTCAGGGAAAAAAAATTGAGAGTGTTCAGAGTAAAGGTCCAAAGCTTGAGATCTGCGATGGGAAGGGGAATTCTGAGTGTGTGGTTGGGTCATAGGAGGGTAGGGGACTTTAGAAGGACATCCAGGAGTCGTCTTCATCCTGGGAGCCTTATGGTTTGTTGAGGATGTCCTGAAAGTGTGTGAATGTGCCTGAATGTGACTGTACTGCTGAAGACCTGATCTGGGAATATTTTAAGGATAATAAAGAAGAAACATAGCAGGATTCATCTAGAAAAGTAAAAGATTTGTTGTACTTGACTTAACAAAGGACTGGATCGATTTCTCAGTTTCTGCACCTAATTCCTTCATAAAGGAGGCAGCTTTGATCTTGTAATTTATACCAAATTCCCAAACAGCTTTATTGCTTCATTAGATACATTTCAGAAAATCTAATATTTAGTGGTGACACAGAAAACAACTTTAAACTGGTGCTGGAGCTCAAACAATGAACCTGGTGGAGATGATTTAACAGCAGAACTGATGGAGACATTAAGAAAAACCGAAATATGAAGCAATCAGAGCAGAGAAAAAACGTCCAAAGCAACAGAAAACTATCAGAGAAACAATGAGCTGAAAAAAAGAGGAGGAAAAATGTTATACTACTGTTGGTACAACGACAGGCTGGTGCAGCTGTGACATCAGCAGCCAGGTCACAGCGAGCAGGTCTCACCTGAGAGGACGAAGAGGAGGGTGATGAAGGCCAGAGGGCTTGGATGCGACGCTGCAGCCATCCTGTCAACCAAAGAGTGTTTTTGCTGCATGTTTGGATGAAAAGTGAACAGTGAGGCTCTGTGATGGAGGTTTGGGGTCACAGAGGGAGGGGCCACACACACTGCGTCTGTTTGTGTCCGTTTGGATGATGACGACCAGTTTTTGTGTCACTGATGACGATTTTTCTTCTGCTCAATGAAAAGGTTTTACATCATTCTGATAATTATGAGAGGAGGAATATTATCTGACATATCGGATAAAACGTCNCTTCGTAGACACTTTTTCTCTTACGACCCGCGGCCATTTTTAAAGAACCTCGACAAAAAAGGCTCCAATGACTGTCTCAAACTGTAGCTCACCTTTGATATATGCCTGAAATTGAGCATGCGCAGAAAAATATAGCTAACGCGACAAGCATGTAGGACGGCCGTACGTAACCATATCACCACATTGACTGACTATTAGGGGGACCACTTATTTAGATGATCTACCCGGAAATAAAAGATCGTCCTCTATACCTTTAAGCAGAACCTGTGAATAGAAAGTAGTGGGGGAATAACTTCCATCCTTGTTTTTGTTGTGGATAGGATTGACGAATACCCAGGACAATATTCAATACTTAAAACCAATACAAAAAAAAATTATTAAAGGCATAACAAATATTTTTAGGAAGAGGTAAAACTTGCTTTTTTCAATGTCAGCATTTCACACGTTTTCTTTACAGAATCACTAATGCTAGTTCAATAAGTGCAAATCAGTAACCCAGATGTAACATAAGTTGACAATATCTAATGGTTGTTTGAAGTATTCTTTTGAGCAAAAAAATCCAGAAATCTAACTTTGAGAGAAAAAATATGCAAAGAATGCTGACTTTAGTATCAATATAATTATATCTGCAAATAAGTATAACATAATGCTGTTTGATCCAGATAAGGGTTTTGGTATTAATACTTTACAAAGTATCAATATTTTTGACAACCCTATCAAAGACGATATTTTTTAACATCAAACAAGATCAGATAAAAAAATTTAAAGATTTCTGAGATGATTCTAACAGACTCTGAACCAGACCTCCCTTTAATTTTTCAAAACAAAACTTCTAGTTTAGGTTTGAGATGTTTTTCACTTGTTTCTGTTCCATTCTTTTCTAAGCAAACCAGTTGGTTTATCTTTTATAATTAGCTGAAGGCGAGCAATTCTGAACGACATCTGAGAAATCCTCCCAATCATCCTCCTCCTTCCTACTGCTGAAACTAGTGATGGACAGGAGGCAGGTTTCATCCAGTAATTCATGCCAAATCCCCAAACTGCTTTATTGCTTCATTAGATACATTTAAAAGAATCAAATATTTAATGGTGACACAGAAAACAACATGAAACTGGTGCTGGAGCTCAAACAAAGAACCTGGTGGAGCTGATTTAACAGCAGAACTGATGGAGACATTAAGAAAAACTGAAATACGAACCAATCAGAGCAGAGAAAAAAACTTCCAAACCAACAGAAAACTATCAGAGAAACAATGATTCTGAAACCAGGAGGAGGAAAAAAGATCTACTGTTGGCACGACGACAGGCAGGTGCAGCTGTGACATCAGCAGCCAGGTCACAGCGAGCAGGTCTCACCTGAGAGG